CCGATGGCTCCCTGTAGCTGGGGCTGCTACTGATCCCCCACTCTTGCTGCCAAGCACAAAAGCAGCCCTTCTGGAAATGCAAATGGCTCGGCTCAGCCGTCATCTCTCCTAATTTTGGATTTGGTAACAGCTCTCAGAAACCAAATTGCAGGAATCTCTTTTTTGTTAGGAAGATGAAGTTAGGTTAGCATTTTTGTCAGTAAGTGCATATCAGCAGCAATTCCCCATCGTCCGCCTCCCCAACCCCTTCATGCCCTAATTTTCCCAACGTGAAATAAAAGAATAGATGTCTATGATTTAAACTGCAGCCTGCTGCCTACCATTGTCCAGTTTCTATGGGTTCCAGGGATGAACCTGCACTTCCTGCTGGAGAAGCTGAGAGGTGGCCGGGATGACCAAGGCAGGCAGCTCCCAGGTGAAAGCCACCAAGTCCAGCCCCAGCCTGTGGCAAAGCCTTTCCACCTCTCACCCAAGTCACCACACCCTGGGAGCACCTGACAGTCTGTGTCAAGGGGTTGCCACAGGCCTGTGGTCACCTAGCCACCCACTTCAGAGACTCAGGTAGCACAAGCCAGCCTGCTGTGGGAACTTGGCCATCCTGCCACCCAGCACAGTCCTTGGACTTCTGTCCTGTGGTTTGCTGCAGCATCGTGATTTCTCAGTGGTGGGTGGGGGGGTGCTCTGTGGGGCAAGGGCAGAGTGGTGAGGTCAGGAGGCCCCCAACCCATGGCCCAGGTCCAAACTCTGGCTCTCGCCAACTAGTTCGGTGACCTTTTTGGGCCTCTGTACAACAGTGCTTGTGTCACTGGGCACTCACTACAGTGGCTGGTGCAAGTAAGTGTGGTTAGTGTGTGACCATTGATGTTATCCCACTACTGGTCTGGCGGATCAGGCCCCTTCCCTGGAACTTGGCTCCATGTGCCAGTGGGGATGGGGGGGCTCGTGGTCCCAGGGTCCCTCTGGCTGTGTAATGTTAGGTGGCTAGAGTTCTCATCTCCTGATTCCATGGCCCCTGCCATGGGTGTCCCCGGTGGTGAGAAGGGATTGGGCCCCTCCCCACCCAAGGAGGCAAGCACTCCAAGGCTATCTCCTCCTGTCACTAAGGCCACCTCTGGGGAGAGCACAGGCTTGGGGGTGGGTGTTTGTGATTGCCCCGAATCCCGGAAGTCCAGCCTGCTGAGTAAGCGAGGGCATGGTGAGTCACACTGGTCCTGTCACCCCAGTGCCCTGTCATTAACCTCATTTCCGAAATGATTTGCTTGAGATGGGCCCCTGATGGCTCCAACTTTAATTGGTGTGCGGTCATTTAAGGGGGAGCAGAATCTCCCTAGAGAACCCTTGGGGGTTCTCTCCTTACCACCCCTGCTCCGCCCCCGCAGGCTGCTGAGGAAACCACATGTGCTCAGGCAGCGGTGGCAGGCGGGGCGGTCCTGGCGCCCTGGGGCATGGCTCCACTTCCTCTGAGCATTGCCATCCTGGAACAGGGTCTCTTCCCGTTGCCTGGTAGGCTCAGCCCGCCCTGGCACCCTGGGTTCCCTCGCTCGGTCACTGTGGGGAGTACCTCCCCAGAAGATTCACCCTGCCTCCGTGACCCATGGGGCCCCCACAGCCATGCTCAAGACGAGGCTGGAGCCAGCCCAGACAGCCCGCAGGAAAGTCATTAGGAAGCGCATCCCGTGCCAGCCCCTCCTCCTGCCAGGAGCTACCCATGTGGAAACACTCTCCCGAGAACCTATTTATAGAGCAAGGCCAGCAGTTGTTTTCACTTTAGGTGAGGCCACCTAGAGCCCTGTCCGCCTGGAGTGCTGCTTGCGGCAGACACTCCTGCCCCTGCCTACTCTCTCCTGCCACCCATGAGAAATCGGAACGCTAGTACAAGGAACACTGGCAGGAGAGGAAGTGATGTCTCCTACAGCTTCCTTTACTGAGCCCTAAGCTGCTCTTTTAGGCACCAGCATGTGTTCCTGAAAGTGGGACTTTGGCATCTTTTGTGGGTACCCAGTGGGCAGAGGCCTGGCCTGCAGAAGGCAAGGCCTATGCTGAGCAGTGTCACTCAGCCACACATACTGACGCCAGCCCTTGTCCGTCTCCATGCTTCCCAGCGTGGCATCTGGACTCAACTTTGGAGTCAGGACTGACTTCAGAGTCATGGGCGGCCCTGAGCACCTGGGCCCACATTTATCCAGCCCATGTTGTCCTCTTGGTCTCCAGCCTGGCTGAGGCCACACGTGTCCTGCAGATGCCCTACCCACCTGGTGTCTTCTTCCAGACCTCTACCCTCCCTGGCTAGGCTCAGGCAGGGTCCTTGCCTTGACCTGGCAGAGCTCTCTAAAACCATCCAACTCCCTCAGAAGTTCCCATGGTGCCCATTCCACCTCTGCGCTGGGCCCCTCAAACTCTGACCCCAGCCACAGCCACCCCAAAGACATGTCCTCGTGCCCAAGGTTGGAATGGGAGTACTGGCCATGCTCTCCAGGGCCATCACATCCACCCTCTCCACCCCAGCTCAGGTCCCAGAACCTCCCTCCTAAGACAACTTGCTCCTGGATTTGTTCCTCAGACGCCTCTGAAACTTGGAGCAAGAGAAGCAATGTAATTAGTCCTCCCTGGCCCTCCAGGCAGAAGCACTCATGCGCCTGCTAACTGGAAACAGAAGGTGCTTTCCGTCGCAGAGGCCAGCAATGGCCCCTATCTAGGCTGTTGCCCTGAGCCTTCTTGGCTGAAACTGTGAAGCTGACCTGTGCTCCCAGGGCTGCCCCTGCTTCTTGGGATTGGGTCCAGCTCCCCAAGTAATTACAGTGTGTCCAGGAATAGAGCCACTGTGAGGCCCCACAAGAATGCCCATGGCCCTTTGAGAAATATCCCAAAACCTCCTGTTGGGGATAAATGCCTCTGGTTTAGGGGAGTCTCAGTTCCATGGTCCCCTCTGGTGGGGGATGGAAGCCTCAGGCTGGGGCAGGTCGGGTGAGCATCCCCTCCAGCCGCCCCACCTTCAGGCCTCCCCACCTCTTAGGCCATCTGGAGCGAGACCCTCAAGGAGCCAGGACCTGCCGATATGTTGTCTGCTCACTTCCTACCTCATCTCCCACTTCTGCCCCCAGCCCACCCCATCTGTTCTCAACACAGTAGCCAAAGTCTGCTGAGATGCAAGAGTAGAAAGTAAGAACGCTTGTAAGAGAGCTCATGCCATCACTGCCCAACCTCCCGAGCAGTTCCCAGCTTCCTCCAAGTACAGGCCACAGGAGTGCTCCCCACAGCTGAGGCCTGCTCAGTTTTGCCCACCCATACCCCCTGTCTCTTGTCCCCCTCCCCTCATTCTCCTCCAGCCACAGCTCATTCCAGCCCCAGGGCCTTTGCACCTGCTGTTCCTGCTGCTGGGAATACTCTGACTTCACCTCTCTGTGCCTCAGCCTCCTCATCCATAACATGGGGTAAGAGCAAGTGACCCCATGAGATTGCTGGGAAGACTTGCTGAGACAATTCACACAAAGCACTAGGAGCTGGCATTGTCCCTGCTGGGCTGCGATTGGTGGCCCAGGGAGACGGGTGGGAATGGGGACTGATTACCAGCTGGCTACAAGGCCCACTCCAGGCTCAGCCTCAGCTGCTCGGCTGGGCCAACCTGGGGCTCAACCAGCGCTCCTGGGAGTGGGAGCCGTTGTGCCCTGTAAGGTCCTTAGACTTTGCTCAGTAACTGCCATGGGTCTTGCTCACTGGACACCCCACCCCACGTGCCCGCGTGACTCCTGTACAGCCTTTTCCTATTGAAGCTTCCAACCACCAGGCCCAGCCAGGTGCCTCGCCCAGCCCCACAGGACAGGGAGCGAGGGTGGGGTCGCCTCTCCGCCAGTTGCTGGCTGAGAGGCAGAGGTGGTGTCAGGGCTGGAGGGATCAGTGGCCTCGAGGCACCAGGGCCTCTTGGGTAGGGTGCAGGTGGCTGGGCTGGGTTCAAATGTGCATCTCACTGTTGCCTGGCTGATGAGATGTGGGGTGGCTTTCTCATGCCCCCACAGACCCTCCCACCCACCTGGTTCTATCCTGCCCCCGCTAGTGGCTCAGAACCCCAGCCAAGCAGAGCCAGGGATTTGGGCTTTTTCTGTCTGAAGGAGAGGAGTGGGCCTCTAAGGGGCCTCTCCCACCACTCCCGCTGCAGACCACTGGCCTGGGGGCCTCCTGAAGGGGCCTGTGTGCCTGGCAGCCAACCTCGCTGGGGATGAGCACCAGAACGCCCGCCCGGGGATAAAGTCTTCTCCTCCAACCTCCTGCTCCCCTCCTCCCTCTCCCTTCCTCCTCCCTTTCTTCCTCCTCCACAAACACATGTTTCCAATCCCCTCTCAGGCCCCCTCTCCCCTCCCCAGCCCCTTCCTATTTCCTCTCTGAGGCATCCACTAGCATGTGGAACTCATTAGGAGACCCTCAGGGCTCGTAACCCAACTCTGGCCCAGGCTTGGGGAGGGGGCCCTGTCCGCAGCTCCCATGCTGAGCCACAGCGGCTTCCCCACGTCTGGCCCCTGTCTGGCCCTGTGCAGTCACAGGCTGGAGAGCACAAGGAGCCAGCTGGTGCCGGTGGAGGAAGCACGGCCAGGCGGCCGGCTCATCTCACTCCTCACCTCTCCAGCCGCATCCCGGCGCCTGGTGAGGCATCTTAGCCCCAGCAGCTGGGCCAGGGTGGCTTCTGATCCCGCCGGGGCAGCTGGACCTGCATGTGAAAAGCAGACCCCAGGGCCACTTGAGCAGGCCCAAGGGTATGGAGTTCTGAGTGATGAACTCGATGGCCTTCAGCTTCCCATCTGAAAAATGGGAAGGGAAGTCCAGGGAAGAGAATGTGGTACGTGGAACAGCCACCAAGCAACACAGGTCCACATCCTCCCTAGAGGACACAGTGAAGGCCCGGTTCCATGGACTGTTAGCGGAGGTTATGCAAAACAAACTGGTGCTATAGTCACCAGAATTTGGGAAATGCCAGGATGAACGAAGTAAAGACAGCTACTTCCCTGAAGGATTGTCAGAGCCTTTAATACACTCCCATGCACTGCAGCTGGGCCATAGAGTTCACGGAGTTTCCAGACATTTGACCACATGGCCCTTTTTATTGCGGCGTATCTGGCACGCCTGTGATTCTATGGAGCCCACTTTAGAAAAAGGTACAGGAAGAACAGTGAGGAGGCAGTAAGGATGGGTCAAAACCCCACAACAGGAAAAGCTCCCTGAGGGTCCCATCAGGAACTGTTACCTGCTGGGTCTGAGCAAATGGTAGGAATTGATGGGGGTGACAACAAAGGACAGGTGAGCGGCAGCCAGCAGGGGCTGGTGGGACCTCACTTGAGCCAGCTGGGTCCTGGGGACCCACAGTTCCTCCCTACGCTGATGTTTCTTCCCCATGGGAGAACAGGCAGGTGAGTGGGCTGGCGTGGGTGCAGAGGCCAGCAGGCAGGGCCTTCCCCAGGAGATGGGACCTGCACAGGCAGGCCCAGGGTGTTGGGAGTATCCACACTACCCTCCCACTGTGACATCAACCTTGGGATGGGCAGCCCCTGGCTGTAGGCTCAGATGAGCTCCTTTGTTTCCATTTCCCTATGGGGCCAGCCTCTCTGCTCAGAACCCCTCTGCCCACACTCCCTGGCACAGCTGCTCACATCCCTCTGCTCCAGGGGGCTTCCCACACGGAGTCCTTGCTTATCCCTGGGTCCTCGCTCTACTTTCTGGGCACAGAGAGGTTGAGCAGAAGGCAGGACCAGACCCTTCACATAGCGCATCTCCTGTCTCGCAACATTCTTGCATGGTAGACTGAAGCCCCATTTTATAGACAGCGGCCCTCAACCTTTTTGGCACCGGGGACCAGTTTCGTGGAAGACAATTTTTCCATGGACTTGGGTTGGAGGCATGGTTTCGGGATGAAACCGCTCCACCTCAGATCATAGGCATTAGGTTCTCATATGGCGCATGCAGCCTAGATCCCTGTCATGTGCTGTCCACAATAGGGTTCGCGCTGCTATGAGAATCTAATGCCAATGCTGACTTGACAGGAGGTGAAGCTCAGGCGGTACTCTACAGCCCAGGATTTGGGGACTCCTTATAGAGGAAGAAACTGAGGCTTAGAGAGGGGAGGCCAGTGGTGGTCAAGATTGGAGCCAAGTGTCTTGGTTAGGCTCCCCTATCTCCACCCCAACCCAATCTTACCCCTGCCCTGTCCCAGCACACATGGCACACTCACACCTTGGTAACCTGAAGGCCACATAGGGCTGTCCTGCTATGTCTGGCAAAGGGCCTGCCAGGTGGTCAGCACTTGACCTTCTCTGGCACAGGTGGGTCATACCAAGGCCACTCCTGCTGCATAGGGGTAGTTGAGGGTCCATACCCAGCCACTTAGGACAAAGAGGCCTTTCCTTTCCCTCTGATGGGCCCAGTGTGGAAGCTTCCTGGCTGCCCCATACTTCCTGGGAATCAGGGGAGGCAGAAAGCACTGCCCTACTTTATAGATGGAGAGATTAAGGCCCAGGGGCTGGGGCACTGCAGAGGCCCCCCACGTATATAGCAGGCAGCAGAGCTGTTTCCCCAGCTCCATGGGCTCCAGCTGCTAGGCCCTTTTTGTTGTTCCTGGGAGCTCCAAGTCTGGATAGTACCCATGGCCTAGGGAATCCAGCTACCCCGCAGCCTGAGTTCTTGGGCGGGGCCTTGGTGCTGTGGGCTGGGTGATGCTTCAGGGTCTCTGGGGAGGGCTCCAGCTCCAGCCAAATGCTTCTGAACACTCTTCAGTCCACCAGCCCTGGGCTCTCAGCTGCCCCTAGGGCTCAGGCTAGAGGGTTTTCCTGTTGGAGATGGATGTCAGGGCAGTGCTGTCCTCTGCTGGGAGACTACATAAGCCACAGGGAGGGGCAGGGAGGTGGGCAGGGGCCCAGGCAGAGTAGGCCCTCTTCCATCCTGTCCCCACCTTGGAGGGCCCACTAGAAGCCCTGAGAGAGCCACTGAACCCCTCCTCCCTCCTCGAGGGCCTGATCTTTTCAGGAAGGGAGTTGTCCAAGTCTTGGGGCATGTGCCCCTGTGGCCAGAGTCCGGCTGGGTGGGGCGGGGGCAGGAAGGGGAGTCCCTAGACTATTTCCCGCTGCTGCCTACCTGGGAACAGCCCGCATCCAGGTCCCAGCAGGCAGCTGGCCAGCTGAACCACGTGGAATGGTGCTGGGCTATGAGGCCTCAAGCCAGCAACCTTGCACCTGGGCCAGGCCGGCTAGCTCCCAAGCCATTTCCCAGCTTCGTCATGGTCACCCTCACTGTCACCATCAATGCCTCATAGGAAGGATTTCTGAAAAACGGGACCGTGTGGGCAGGCAGGGAGGGGACCAGGCAGGCCCGGGCAGCAGGCAGATGCTAATGAGGCAATTAAGGCTAGCAGCTACAGAGAGACCTGCCCACCTGAGGCAGGCCCAACCCAGCCCCCTGGCACATCCGCCCACCAGGTGCCATGAGAATTCCTGGCCTCTGTTGCCCTCCCCGCCTCAAAGGTTGGACTGTCTTCACTGTCAGGAACCTCCCACTGCCAACTCTCTCAATCAAAAAACCATAGGCTGGTTTGGCAAAAACAGAACCAGGGCAACCCCCAGCCCCATCACTACTTCTTGCCATTGCTCTGGCTGAGCAAATGCCTGCCCGAGATGTCCTCTCCCCCTCCCCATCCCCTGCTCAAACCACCTGGGCTCCAGGCCCTTCCTGGCAGAGGTGGCCTTCGAAGGATCAGCAACTTTGAGCAGGGGGCCAAGGGTGCCATGGTGGCAAGGTGGGCATGCAGCTAAAGATTCCTACTCCTGCAAAGCCCTGGCTCCCATCCCTCAGGCTCCCAGGTGGGCTCATGGGGTGCGGCCCACAAGCCCTGGAGTGTAAGGCAGGGCAAGAGATCATCCCAGGGCAGAGATGTTGAGGATTGTGGGGAAGGGGATGCAAGAGGCGAGGATGTAGCCCTCACCCGTGGCTTTGGAGCAGGGAGCGCAGTCCACCTGTGCTTATCTGAGTCCTTTCCCCTTCTCCTCTGGCTGCCTCTGAGGCCCGAGGACATCAGATACAGCACACCTGATTTCCCCGGGCTGTTGAGTGGCTTCTCCTGGCTCTCTAGGGATGACCTCAGTGTCAGCAGATGGGGTGCCCAGGTGAGTCAGAGCCCCTGACCCAGCCCAGCGCCCCCTCCAGGCTTGAAGGGGGGTAGTGAGGAGGGGTAGTACTAAAACCCAGGCTTACGACCGCAGGGACCCTCAGGTCCATGAAGAGATGGGAGTTTGGGCACATTCTATGGAGGACGGAGGAGCTGCAGCTGGGTGGGGGAAATTGAGGGCTATGGTCCAAAGCCAGGATGAGGCCTGCCAGGCAAGGTGCCAGCAGGTCCATCCCTTCGTGGCAGGGAGCCCTCTGGCTCCATAGACTCTCACTGAGTGACTCTGGGCAGGTCATACAGAACAGGCCGAGGCCCAAGGAAGGAATGGAATTGAGAGGCTTCTGGAATCGAGTGTGGCAAGGGAGGGCCAAAGATGTTTTGTTTTGTTTTGTTTGTGGGTTTTGTTTGCTTTGTTCTTTTGAGACAGCTTCTCGCTTTGTCGCCCAGGCTGGAGTGCAGTGGCATGATCATGGTTCACTCCAGACTTTGCCCCTCAGGCTCAAGAGATCCTTCCACCCAGTGTCCTGAGGAACTGGGACTACAGGCATGCATCACCACACCCAGCTTTTTTTTTTTTTTTTTTTTTTTTTTTTTGGAGAGATGGGGTTTCGCCATGTTGCCCAGGCTGGTCTCGAACTCCTGAGCTCAAGTGATCCACCCACCTCAGTCTCCCCAAGTGCTGAGATTACAGGTGTGAGCCACTGCACCTGGCCCCAAACATGTTTAAATCACAGGACCATATGCTCATGGCTGACAACACAGAAGAGTCTAGAAGTAGGCCAGGGTTCCAATCCTGGCTCTGCCACTTCCCAGGTGCCCACTGTGGCCCTTAGAGGATGAGCGGATTTGGGGGACAGAATAAGAAGGTAGTCAAAGGCGAATCCAGGCTTTGCATCAGCCATGGGAGCACTGCCAATCCATTTGACAAATGGAGAAACTGAGGCCCATGGCCATAAATCAAGCAGAGAGGAGGGTTTCAGCAGGGGGACCAATGAGGGCAGAGGCCCCGCAGAGGGAGCCCGGGCTAGGGAAGTGCGGGTGAGAGACTGAAAGTGGCTGGAGAATCCAGGATGAGGAGAAGAGGGAGAGGAGGGGGTTACAGAGTAGAGTGTAGACTCTATGCAGAGTGTGGACTCTATACTGGGGACAGTGGGAGGCTGTGGAGGAGGAGAGGCTGCCTCCACCTTCTCAAAAGATCCCTCTGGCTGCTGTGTGGGGAATGACTGTTGGGATGGAGGCAGAGGCCTGGGGAGGAGGCACAGGATGTGGTCTAGGGGAGAAGCGGGAGAACCTGGGCTGTGTAGTGGTGACCAGATGGCTTCTGAAATTGAGTCCTGGGATGGATCATCCATATCTGTCATGGAGGCAGAAAAGGCGTTTGGTAGCACGAATGCTCTGTGGAAGACAGCCCTTCTCTTTACGGGTGTGCACAGCTGCCTGTCCTCCCAGTCTGTCTCCCACCCTGCTAGCACTGGGTCTCCCCAGAGATGGAAAAGAGTTGGCAGAGTAGGGGCTCCCTGTGGACTGTACCTGAGCCTGGAGGAGACTGGAGCCACAGTCAGAGCCAGCTGGGAACCCCTGGACTGGGGAAAGGAGCTCTGGGTTTTTAGTCTGGAGCCCAGCCTCCTGTCACTGCTTGATTTATGGCCATGGGCCTCAGTTTCTCCATTTGTCAAATGGATTGGCAGTGCTCCCATGGCTGATGCAAAGCCTGGATTCGAGGCCAGAAGGGAAGATGTTTTGAGACAGTCGGGAGTGTGCAAGCCCATTAAGCCCAAGACAGCTTGTGTGGGAACTCGACGCTGGGAGCCTGAGGCAGGCATCCACCCTCCCTGCAGACCGTCCTTCCCACTTGCCCGTGTTTATGTGTTTCCTTCCCATCACCTGGGCCACCATGACTCACCCCAGGCCTGGTGGGTGAGTGAGTAACTGACTGGGGCTGGAGCCAGACCCTTGGGCAAGACACTTCCCTTCCTGGGCCTCAGCTTTCCTATCTGTAGAACGGCCAGACAAGTCCTGCTCTGCTCACCCCACTGGGGAATCCGGAGTGAATACAGGGCTGAGGATGTGAAAGCAAGAGGCTGCAATGGAGTGGGGACAAAGCAGGGTGTGGCCTTTTGGTGGGAACAGAAACCAGGCCCTCTTTTTTTTTTTTTTTTTTTGGCGGAGTCTCGCTCTGTGGCCCAGGCTGGAGTGCAGTGGCCGGATCTCAGCTCACTGCAAGCTCCGCCTCCCGGGTTCACGCCATTCTCCTACCTCAGCCTCCCGAGTAGCTGGGACTACAGGCGCCCGCTACCTCGCCCGGCTAGATTTTTGTATTTTTTTTTTTAGTAGAGACGGGGTTTCACTGTGTTAGCCAGGATGGTCTTGATCTCCTGACCTCGTGATCCGCCCGTCTCGGCCTCCCAAAGTGCTGGGATTACAGGCTTGAGCCACCGCGCCCGGCCTAGAAACCAGGCCCTCTTGACATCAGTCCCTACTTGGCTCCAAGCAGAGTTTTAAATGCTCACTTGCCTAGGCTGACCAGCCCAGCAGAAGCCCATTGCTCTGAAGGGGGCCCCATGCCTGGGAGAGCTTGTAATGGAGGGCAGGGTGGGACCCAGGACCTTGGTGAGCTCATGGGAGATGGGACTTCGATGATGAAAGGGAGGCTAACCTAGGGGAAGAAGCCACAGGGGTGAAGCCCCACCCTAGA